GGAACCATCAATCCAGTCTTGAAGCAGCAGCAGCCGCAGACAGCAGCAGAGCTTTTAAGTCTCATCGTTCTCTACTTCAAACACTGAAAAAACTAGAATCAGAAGACAGCATTTCTGAGGAATGCACTAAAAAGTTTTAGATTCTTGGCTTAGATAAGGCTCTACAGTCAAAATTTATCTTCATGACCCTTCCTTACTTGCAACAGAGGCTCTACCTTGAGAGGCAGGCAAACTGAAGCCCCAACAAATTTGGAGGAAAGCAGGTGATGGCCAGATAGGTTTGTAGAAACGAGGTCTACGTGGCCAGTAATGAATAGCTGAATGGAACAGACAAAAACATTAATTACATATTAGTATTGCAGTTGCACTCTTGCCTTTGAGAAAAGGCAGTATTCTGCTGACGGCGCCGCGAACTGAAAAGGGCCTCTGCAGAACTTTCAGTGCGTTCTCCATCACTGTCAGCACAGTCCTGTAAAGGTGCGCACCCTTCAATAGATCATTAGCACTAGTTCCTCCTCTCACATACATCTCTTCTTACATCCTATCCTAGCAAATCAGTCTGGATGTTTCGATTACACTGAGCATCACAGTATCTCAAAACATTTTCTTATTTTTATTCACCACAAGATTTTTGGGAGCCTGTTGCAAGATCTCTTATATTCTTTCAAACATGCCACATATCATTGGGTAGCAAGAGATAAGAAATAAAAATGAGGTCTACCAAAATACTTTTCACAGTTATGCCTGATCTTGCTTTTGGCCGCGCAGATGCTGTGCAAATTTTTTAACAAAGAAAAAATATCCTACTGTATATCCATGTTCCTAAAAACCTGGAACAGCCAAGGAATCTGACAAAAATCACACTGAATCCCAAATCAGTTCAGACTACTAAAATGCTCGCAGTACCTTCCTTTGAATGTGGGAGATGCACTGGAGTTGGAAACAGTGGTAAGGTAGTCTTTTCTGTGCTTGTCATATTTTTATGGCTTTGATTATAGAAATAAAATTGAAAATCCACTACAGACTTTGGACAGCAATGTTTTAAAATGACAGATGTGTTGGCATATTTATGAGATACTCAGTGGTATCTTGCTGAATGTAAGTTAACATTAGCATTCACACGTACACAAAATCTACAGAGGATAACATCAGCCTTCCAAATGATGCAGTGATTTTTATATGTAATGTCATGCTTGAATGGGTATTTCTTTTCACTCTCTCAATTGTGTTAATAATGTAACATGTAATATGACTATTTTTGGTTCGATACAGCACTATCCTGTTTATACAAAAATAAGTTATTTGCAACGTTGGAATTCAAAGTCTCAACAACCATCCACATGTACTTAATAGAGTGAAAATATTCTCAGTTATTTAAATATATTTGACTGCATATTTCTGTAACGCCCATCTAACATCAGGGAATCAAAGTTATATTGTATTTAAACTATTCACAGAGCATCAAAAACTTTTTTTAAAATCCAGCTCATTTATTGGCACAGCCTTCATTCTCCCTTCATAGAAATGAAAAACTTAAAGACTGATATTTATCTGCTTAGCTTAAAAACTTAGTGCCTAATAAATTAATCCAAATGGAAATAGAAAAGCCAGGCTCTAACATGCAAAACCGAGTTAAATGAAACAGCCATATATTCCGGTGTCCTTTGACACAATCCTCTGCTTACGTCAGTATTTTGAGTGTTGCTAACAGACTGCATGCAATGATTTTGCAAAGCTTCTCATACTTCACTTCTGACTTAACAGGTGGGCTTGCCCCACACACTCACTCCCTCATTCAAAGTCTCTTTCTTGAGGCTAGTCAGAGTATTAGTGCTCACACTGGGGTCAGTGCACCATTAACAGCACGTTCTTAGATTGCAATGGAGCCTAAAGCATAGATGTGAGAGCTTGTGTGCCCACATGTTGCAGTGCACCATTATGCAAAGACATTAGCTTGCCACAGCCCAAGCTATCGTATCAGCATGATCATGCACACGAGCTAACAAGTCCAGGCTTATTGGGATGGCTACAGTAATGCACTGACAGGACAAAACCTCTTTGGTCCTAAAGCAATTTTGCTTAGGCTAGCTTAGGGAACCTTGCAAGTCGTTTCATGCCCACCGCTAGCATGCTACAAGACCACTAATTTATTTCACACAGCCATTGAACATGCAGGAGACAGCAATGATGCCGAGCCACTGCTTATCTAGACTCAAAATCTGCAAAACGTGGTTCTCACAATTGAAACTGATGCTGTGGCACGTTTATCGTATTTTGTCCTGTGTAGACCTGGGGAGAGGCTCAGCCACTTCCAAAAGGGTCAGAAGCAAGTTCAGTTTCCAGTGTGTTTGACTACGATCAGGGGCAAACTGAAAGATCAATCAACAAAACAAAGTCTCTAAAATCTTGACATATATTTTCAACATTCAACCTGTGGCCTGAAAAGCTTTAAATCAGAAATATGCGAATGTCAATAACATTACTGAAGAGGACATGCAGTCTCCTAAACTGAAGGCTTACTGCTCTTCTATCCGCACTCATCATACAGCAACTATAACAGTTTTGAAACTTTGCCAAGAGACATCTCTAATATAATATAATCCATCAGTGGAGTCCAAACAAATTTTAAGAAAAGATCAGGAGTAATACATAACTAAATCATTTGTCTAGAAGACTTCACTATCCACTACAAGCTATCATGTCAGATCTCCTAGGCTAAAAAGGAGATGTTTACGGGATTCTTCCTTTATAGTTTTTCATTTACATTTGGCTAAAGTCTTTAAAACTAGGGCAGCACAAGGCAGCAGCACTCTGCGTATCATCAGATTAAAAACAGGCGCCTTTCATTAAATTCACTTTGTTTCACTTGTTAATAACATTTATTTGACTAGAAGTTCCATGGAAAATTCCTGTTACAACCTACATAGCCACTAGATGCAAGTTTGTGTATTACCACACCAGACATGCCTGTATACATTTTAAACATTTGCATGTAGCAGAGGCTGTAAATCCACAAACAATGCATATCACACAAAAACGCATGCACACGCAGCTTCTGGCTAAGGGCTTGGATGGAAATCACATTGAAATGACTTCAGTTGCTTCCTTGCCATAGACTTAGATATGCCAAAATTCCCTTAATATGCAAAGATCTCACTTAGTTGACTCCCTCACATGCTTCCTTGCACCAATATGCATGTTCCTTGTATTCTTACCATAACAGGGCAGCTTCTTTCTCTATCTAGAATCCTACAGGGCAGAGATGGCAAGTCAGCAGACAAGGTTGACCAGACAGCTGAGTGTGGGACACAGGGAACCAGAAGAGGAGGGAGGCTGTGGCACTAAGCTGCAGCCAATGTGTACTTTTTCCACACAGGCCAGAGCTCAAGAAGCCTATAATACAAGTAAGCAAAAAAACACATATTATGAGAGCTGAAATTAGCTCTTATGACGCTTCCTCACCAGAAGCCAAGGAATGCCATTTCCTTGTACACATATACTATCATTTTAAAAGTAGTAATAGAACTTTACTTTTTAAAATAACCATTCATACTTAGTGTTGGGATGGCACAGCAATAATAACAAAGCAGCATATTGTCAGATTACTGATAATAAAATTTTATTCATTACCTTTATTGTCATACATAAGACTAACAATGTATGACACACAAGAAAAATTTAAAAAATGTAATCCAGGCAAAATTGCTGGACTCCAATTTTATCCCCTTACATAAACACATTAATATATAAGATGTTATGTGGCACAAGACAGGAAGACACTGTGGCATTGTGTTAACACAGCCCAGCCATACTGATTCCCAGCTGCTTAAAGCTGACTCTTACCAGAAAGATACAATTGGTATCAAGTTACATCACTTCAATACCCTCTCCTGTCTCCAGACAGGAGGTATGAAACATACCTAACAATGCATATGACCTGGCAAAATGAAATGTGCTGTTCAGATACCTGCTCAAATTGCCAGTCAGCAGAAAAGCATACCACAAAATATGAAAAAGAAGACGACGAAAAGGGGGGGGGGGGGGGGGGGGGGGGGGCAGAGGGGGAGAAATCAATAGCACACTTCAAGTGCAAAAGAGACACCTTACTGCTTTCCCTAGCCCTATGAGGTATAAACCACATATGATATTTAGGTGCCCTCCCTGCCTTTCTTCAGGATATCAACGTAAAATGAGTAATCACTTTGACCAGGAACATCAGTAAGTGCAACAGAAAGAGCATGCATTTGACCTTCATGCATAACAAGACGACAATTTTACTAAGCAGCACTTTGTAACGTATTGCAGCAGCTTTTCCTGGTATGTTTTAACAGAGCTTATTATTACTTCTGAGTCCTTTAAAGTGGAAAACAAGTCTATGTATTTCAGCAGCTGACGCCAAATTCTTAATCGGCTGAAAAAGAGTACAGAGAAAGTCAGGCAATACATGTATTGGGCAACGAAGCATGTTGCGCAGGTCACTGGCACTCCTGACAAAGTAAAGATCCTACACCATATAAGCAGTGGTAGCACAAGTTAGCCCTTAGGCAATTTCAGCCATCATTCACAAATCTAAGTAAAAAACTGGATGAAGCCTGCAAACTAAGGTTTGGTAGTTAAATAACTTAGTTCATTTATAAATCAGAAAGCATAAGTGCAAATGCCCTAATTTAGGAAAGGCCACTTCAGTGCATATTTGTCAGATAAAATCCAGGCAAGAACCTCAAGCTATCCTTCCCACAATATGGAGTTTTCCATTTTCAGTTAATTATAATCGAATCAAGATATTCGAGTCTTTAGCGTCTCAAAGACAAAGATATACTGAAGATGGTGTTATCAGTACTGCTAGGTATCTGAAAAACTATGGTCGTTATAACTAAGTCAATCTAATATTGTCCAGGTGACTGTTGTATCTTTATTTATAAAGCTGCTTTCTGTTACACAAACAGCACAAGACAGTATTAAGTTACCTGCAACATAAGTAATGAGGAAATCACCTTAAAGATGGTAAGGGGAAGTGTCTCCTGGTGAAAGTTGACACGGCACGTCCGGATGGAAGGAGGGAGAAGGTGCTACGAGGCATGTCACGGAGAGGAAAGTACCATACCTGGAAGTTGTAACGTGCACAAGTATTACAGTGGTATAAGGTCTGCTGCATCAGTGTTAAATGTTATAGCAAACCCATTCTAGCATATTTTTTTCAAAGGCCAGGGAACTGGGCAGCAGGTTACTATCAACAGCTCCTTCAAACTTAAGCAATAATTGAAAGACTGGGTGCTATAAAGAAAATAAATGTTATTCAAACAGAAGAGAGATTACGTATTGTGGAATTGTTAAATATTTGAAGAAAAACACCTTCAGCAATATATAAAAACAAATGCTTTGTTAACTCTGCTAACATATGAACAATGCTCATACAGCACATTTGAAATCATAACAAACTAGTAACCTAAAGGAAAGAAATGTCAAACAAAGTTCACGTTTCAGATTCCAGTAACTCTCTGAAGACTTTCTATTCTAAAGAGCTGAATGAATCTCCAAAGTTTAAAAAAAACAAAACAAAAAGAAACCTCTCCTCTGATAGCAGAAAAATTCTAAGGAGACATTTAACCTCAAAATCCTCAGATTAAAAAGAGAAGGACCAGAGCAAGACTGTCTTGGAAGTTGCCTCCTATTTCACCTTTCTATGTGCTATACATCTCAATGTCCAATTCTAGTATCATTTTCAATGACTTAGGGATTATAAATATACTGCTAGATGCTTTGCTTTTAAGTATCTTTTACCTACAACACTCTCAGGATTCCCGAAATGCTCCTGAAACACCATGCTAAGCATTTGTTTAGGAAGAGCCTTTCTTCTTAAAGAGTGAGAGAGATGACTTCCTACAGAGGGAGGTGCACTGTGCTGTTAAGGGGTCTTTAGGAAATCAAAAGTCATGGTCTGAAGCAGTACGCTTTAAGCGTTTCTGTCTTTCTTCATACTATGAAAAATGTCTTTGGCTTCGCTGTGCATTACTTTCAATAGAGCCTACAGTAACTGAAGTACTCCTAATTACAACTAACATTCACTGTTTAATGGCATTGAAAAGTATACAGTTTTAGTACTGGCAACCATGCTTCATTCTACTAAACGATGAAAACGCACCTTGGCAGCTAAAGCCAAAACACTTAACATAGGAGGAAAGTAAGTAAATACAAAGTTAATAATATTTTTCTTTAAACTAGAAAAGAATATTTAGTTTAATCCCCTCATATTCTCTATACTTGCTATTTGATATTTTTGCTCTTCCCTTTCCTTCCTCCCTCCACCCAAGAAAAATCAGACAAGTGTTCTGATGTATACGCAAACAAAACAAAGAATGTCTCAGAGACACGTGATAAAGCAAATTATAAATAATAAATAGTAAAGCAAATTATCTGTTAAACTGCAAAAATTCATTTGGTAACTTGTAGAAGGACCTCAGAACTTGAGCAGGATGAGACATTTTATCATGGCAGGGGATAACTACATCCACAGAGCTTATTGACATAGACAAACAAGCATCAGCTATTTAAAATAATTTAACCAATGACTGATTTGGCTTTCTATCTACTATAAAATTAAAGAAACTGCTAGCATACACTTAGGCTGCTATTTCCAAAGAGATTTTAGCTCACTTTTCAAGATGATAAGCAACTGAGCAGCAATAACCAATCCTTGGCATGCTCTGCCTCCCATCTTTGTTCCCCAACAGAGAAAAGTTGCTCTTTGTAACGAGTTTTTTTCCCCTCCTACAGGCCCTCAGTGGTATCCAGGGAAAACAGTAAATTAAAGGTTGTTCCTGTGAATTACTGAGCACTTCCAACATGGCTAAGGCAAAAAAAGATTTATGCTATGAAACCATAGCTCTCTGCAGCTTGTCTTTACTGTATACGTTGTCTGGCACAATAAGATATGTCTCTCAAGCTTTCTCTCTCTGTTAGATAGCCTATAAAGGTCACAAAAGCTAAATCCAAACATAATGACATGGAGAAATGTCTCTATTGCTGAGTGACTACTAGCTGACTATAATAGCATCAACTTAATACAAAATAACATTACTCAGACCACAAAGCCAACCACTACATTCCAACACAAAGCAAATGAATCAGCTTCAAATTAGATTCTGTTTACTGCATCAGATAAACTAGTTTCATTTGGGATTGAGGCAAAAAAATCAACCTTTAACTCCTGCCTTTTTAGGCTAGAAGGAAAAGTATCTGGCTTCAGTACAATTTCAGTAACAAAATCCACTGTCTGGATGCAAGCATTTCGTTCTAATGCGGATGGCACCATTCTGCTTAAGCCCTGTAACGTGGCACAAGCATTAAACTATGAGATTACTCTGGCCTCAATTTACTGTGTCTATGTATTCTCTTGAAATCAAATCCATCTTGATGGGGCCTTTTGTCTTTGAAGACTGAGGGACAAATCATACTTTCTTAGTAATATGAAGTTAAAATAATGCCACTGAAGTCAAAAGAGACCATTCAAATTGATGTGCACCAGTACAGAGCCTCAGGACTGACTCTTCACTCAGGCCTAACTTATACAGCCAGTTATACCTGCTGCAACTATCTCTAGTAGTTAATGGCTACACAGGATCCAAGGACATAAACAATTACACCTCTATTATATCACAAGAGTCTTATTTCTTTTTATTCAGAGAACCTAAAACCTGTGAACTGAAAAATACTACAGGCATGCATACAGGATGCGATGAAGCTGTCAGAGGTATCTTAGCTAATTTTAGGCATGCTAGTTGAAGTGAGAGAGGCACGTTAGCACAAGGTATTTCGATAGGATACAGTAGCTTGGGCAGAATACAGTAATAATAGGGCGGTAATGCTTCTCAAATCCAAGGCAGGCTCTTAGCACAGAGCTGCCTCATATCTGTAGACAAACTAGCTCATTCAGAACAAGCGCAGTGATCTCCATGTAGCCTAACAATGGGCTGAGAAAACAAGATTACAGCCAAATTATATCTACATTTCCTTATAACATTCCAAAACTTTGAAGTTCAATGATGCTGGGGGGAGGGGGGAATTATACCAAAATTTTTCTCTTTCTTTAGCAAGAACTTTCATCATCAAACAGTAAAATTAAGGTGAGGGAGGCTGTTTTGTCTCACAAAGATGTTTTAATAGCATGAAAAGCCCTTTTCTTCTTTTGTTGCTTGCTAGAGCTCACAGCCCACGTGCCTATCTGATTTAATGGTACTGTAAAGGTTGAATCATTATATGCTTCACAAACAACACAGTAAACTATGGTTCTAGGAGAGAAGTAACTTGGCGCAAACTTCTCCGCAAAAGTAAGGAAATAATCTCTCTCAAAATAAATCTTTAACTCCTATAGCACAAGTACAAAACAGAGACAGAGATAGCTTGTGTGTACTAAAAATCTCTGCACCATGTTAAATACACAAGTTAGGAATTGCATCAAAGTCAACCCAAATTATAGCATACTCAGCAAAAGCAGACTGGGTGCCTAACTCTTTGCTCAAGTTCCCAACGAAAAGATAACAGCATTACATTTGGCTGAAGAGGTCGCAAGTAGAAAAAGAAAGCCCTTCAGATAGAAATCAGCTAATACAACACTACTTTAAATTTGCTTCCCTCTAAAAAAAAAAAAATCTATATTTTGAGTAGAAGGGTTTAAGACACGCATATAACAAGAGAAATGTCATTTGCCGCCTCTTTTTTATTAAGAGTTTATGAGGACTTTCAAGATGTAGGTGGTTTTTGTTTTTTGTTCCCCCCCCACCCCATAGTGATCTAGCCACTTGCCCTGCACAACTACCTGTAGAATCCATGCAAGTGAGGAGCACTGTTACGGTCGTGTAGAAGCATCTGCAAAGGGGAGGGAAAAAGCAAAGTGCTGGCACAACAATTTCCTGAAAACACTGCCTTCTCAGGCACAAACACACAGAGCTGCAGAGGTACGACAAAATTTATTTTACTGCTTTGTTGTGTATGTGGATACCTGAGGCAGTGCCACAGTGTTTTCAGAGACCAGTGTGAGTTATTCAGTCTTGTCTGCTGTTGAAGATCGCAAGTCTCATTTTGAATGAGCAGATGAAGACAAAGCCACTATTAATTAGCCAGGAGTTACCTATTATCAGTTACCTTAACCAACCACCATTTGTAGTGTCAATTTTGATTTCATTTGGTTTGATTTATGCTGGGTGGGCTGCACCGACTTCCACAGAATCCCTTCTGATTGACACCAACAATGAGAAAAATGATATAGGAAGACTTTGCTCTTATCATTGATAATTATATGGTAACTTGGACTTCACAGATTTTTTCAAGAATATTAAGCAGATATCCAGAAAGATGAAGAATCTGCAGTATGTGTTTAGGTTTATTTCAGCAGAAAAAGATTCATAGAAATCAAGACCAGAAAGACCACTGAGCTGTATTTCTAGACTGGCCTCCCATATATTACACATGTATCTGCTCCATGCCAAAAGACATTATGCACACTGTAGCCCACAATTACAAAAAACAACAAAAAAAACACACACCCACTACACTAAAGCGTATTACAATACAAGACCAGACTGAGCGGATCCCAGAAGGAAAAGCAAAACCTTTTTTATAGTGGATGCAAAGGGAAACCTTCACGTCCCTACCAATTTAACCTGATGGAAGATTCTCAATCTCAACTCTGATCAGCTTAGCTCCGAGTCTGCAAACAGGCAAGACTTCACAGGCAGCCATCTGAGTGCCCTCTATGCTGTATCAGTAGCCTCCCTGCTTCAGTATCCGATTTCCACAAGTGCAGATCTTCAATGCTTCATTATACTCAAATTGCCTAGTGATGAAGCACTAGAGCAGACACATTCTTGTCACTCAGAAGGTACAGCCCAGGAGCTGGTATGGAATAGAGGTGATGGACACAAGTATTCTTCTCACTGTTCACATTGTTCCAAATTGGCTGCTTGACTGGAATGAAGTTTTTCAGCTGCTCATTTTCAGATCGTTACCAGCAGTAAAGTCAGTTTGGCCCTCAAAGTACAGACAGTTAAGTCCAGAAAGACCAATTGCAGCTATACCACTTCACTACCTCATAGTAATCCACAACTT